TGTTAGCAGAATATCTGTTTGTTGAACTGTGGGAGCCTGTACTCTCGAAAAGTAAAAAGTGGAGCATAATACATGGTGACGTAGGACTGATGACTTCTGCAGCTCTGTATCTTTGAGAGTTCTTATAATCTGATCACATTTGTTTAAAAAAAAAAAAAGACAGCTGTACTCTAGAGCATATTAGCTAAACCGTTGTATGTTTTAAATAAGAGAATGCAAATTTCTCCTTGCACTGTCTGTATAAATCCATAAGCATTCTGGCCAAGGATTTGTGGATTTACTTTTTTTAACCTTAACCTTTTAGATCTCCTTATCTATAGACCTGCTGGATAAGTTTCCTTTTTACATGCCAAAGCAAAAGTCATAGTTGAGGCAGCTCTCAAATGAGGTTTCAAGATCTTGACTTCAAATACTGTGAGAAATAGTCACCTACTTCTTAAAAGAAGGCCATGACCCAGAAGGCTGTGGTATGTAAACAGTCGTCCTGTTCAAGCTTCTGGGGCATGTGAAAACTAGTTGAGGTTTCCCTTGAAAAGTGAAGCATAATCCCTGATTTGGGAAATGGGGAAATACTGTATAGAGTAATTATTGTTACCTAGTAGTTAGTATCTTGGTCTCTTTTAATGGGATCCCCTTTGCAGTGGTAAATTCATGCCTACGTTTATTTTGAGTGGAGTTTTTCAACCTTCTCCAGTCTTACAGTATTAGGTCTTCAAGCTGCACTCGTTCAGGCTTGCTGAGAACATATAGCAAGTGAACTGCTAAAGCTTGAAGTGTCTGGCAGTTAAGAAACCTGATTGCATTTCATGGTTGTCCGTAAACCATAACAGCTCATAACGTTTATTAGTCTTGCAGGGACTGAATATCAATTGGCTTGAAAAAGTAATTAGGATAGAATTGTTTTTTCCTGTCTGTACAGTTGGAACCACAGATTGAACAAGTTACTTGTTAGGGACTGCTGATAATCTTCCTTAACTCTTGGAACAGCTATTGCCCTGAGTTTTGCTGCGTAGGCGCTACCTTAAGGTAGCACCAAAGCACCAAAGGTAGCACTGAAACAGATGGTAAACTGAAAAGGCTGGCATCTGTTCCGCTTGCTGTCCCTTTGTGGTGGTATGCTGTTGACCAAGCTCCTCTGAGCTCCAAGAGCTATTTTGCCCGCAGCAACAGAATGCTACGTCTGTTACAAAGTTACAGAAGTTGTCATGGCATAGCATTATTGCTGATCCTTGGGAGATGGTGGGGCTAGTATGAGCCTACTAGCTATTTGAAAATGAGAGAACTTTGTTGTTGTTTTATTGTTACAGCAGAATTGGGACTAGGACACAGGAAATAAGGCTAAGGGATTGAGAAGGGTGCTTCACTTTGCACGTGGGCGTGGCGGTAAGCTTGTAGCTAGAAAAAGTCATTTCTTCTCCCCAAGTTTTCTTAGGTCAGAATGCAAGAAACTCAGCAAAAGACTTTTCTGTGATCCTGTGATGAATGACAAATAGGTGAAGGGAATGCTTTAGTTCCCCAAAGAAAAAGAGGAGCAACCTAGAGCTCTTCTTCCAGTGGTGAAGTAACTTAACTGTATGCCAGACTATACGAAGCTTGATTATGTTCTTCTTTTGTTAGAATCATCGCTACTAGTTCACTTGAAGTAGAGGTGAAGAAGCAGAACACTCGGTGTTTAAAAGCAGAGCCTAAAAGTAGCTCATAATGTACTACTTTTATGTGTAGTCATATTGAAGTTTTTCTCCTGCGTGCTAGATAGTCCAGAGTGTAGCTGGATAGTTGAGTCCTACCTGTGAGGTAGGAGATGGTTTGGCTTACATTAGAAGTGTTATCTCTGCAAGCTGCTGGCTCTAACTCTTCTGATAGCCCTCTCATCTGCTGCACTGAGAACAGACTTTGGAGAAGCTTGCAAGCAAGACTAGCAAATAGTACAGAGCCTGGCGTTACTGCAGGGAGTTGCCTTCAGAGTAGCTGATCATCACTACAGTAAGCCTCTCACAGCTTACTGATTGTTCAATTCAATATTAAAATTTCTTTCAAAGAGGGAGATGTTTCAAGTCTAGAAGTAAGCCATTGGCTAAAATTGTGCTGTATGGTCTTGGAACTAATCTCTAGTTTCTGCGTACAAGAAAGAGAGCGCAACTGCAGAAGGAGTAGCATGTTTCCAAACCCAGTGTTATCTTCTCAGACTGCCCAGTTCCTGAAGTTGTGTCAACTTTCTTGGCCGTTCCTTTCGCTGGGGGCTTAACTTGGCAGAGTCACCATGTATTGAGTCTACAACTGAAGGACTGAAGTAACGAAGCTGTTGCTGTAGTTATCTTCAAGCTGCTCAAATCTTTCTCTATTAAGCTGGAGTGCAGGTGGAAGACGCTGATTGTTGATGTCTGTTTCTAGCAGGTTTGACTGCCCTCTCTCTCCTGCATATGCACATAGCCGACACAGTTCATGCTCTCACCTCTCTTCCAGACTAAAGACTAGCTGGTTGCTGTGTGAAAGCTCAATATCATGTTGTCAACATATATATATATATATATCAGAAGCTTTTGGATGTTTAGATGTGTTTTGTATAACCGTATCCTTAGAAATGAAGCTTTGTCTCAAAGAACCTAGATCTTCTGGAGTTCATAAGCAAAATCGAGGAATATGAGGCATTCCTAGCTTTAGCAGTTCTGAAAGTGCAGTGTTAACTTCAGCGATTTCAAGATGCAGTGCTGTGACAGAATTGGATAGGCTCTGATGCCAGCAGAGAGCTCTCATTATTGTTCTTGGCTGATGAAAACATAGCGATAGTGGCAATAGTATTTAGGCTTTTTCTGCAGGAAGTCAGATATGAGTGCAGATGAAAGCCTGCTACACAGCTAGCTTTGCTTACTGAGACGAAGGCTAGAAAACATAGTTATTCTAGACTTGATAATGAACTATGCAAACATTGAGACTGGAGAGTTGAAATGAGAGAATATGTGAATGTTGATCCAGTTCCCTTTAGTGTTCTTGCGTAGCCATATTGCAGCATGTTAGTAAAGTGCCTTTTCCTCTTCTGCTTGCAGTATGCTTAGTCAGCATGCTGACTCTGCATCTTAATCACAAGTTCTAGAAAGCTCAAAACAAGTGGGAAGCTTGTATTAATATTTCTAAAGCTTCTGACTCCACTGCTCTCTGAAAACACTGAGCTTTGTGCTATTAGCAAGGGTTTCCAAACAGAAGAAAAGTAGCCCTGACAAGGATAAATCTTTCTCAGCCACATCTCTCAGCAAAATCCTTGCCCTCCTCTCTTCCAAGACGGGCAGAGTGGACAGCTGGTGTGTTCAGGCAGTTAATACCTGTAGGATTTATAGGCTGCAGCTTAGCTTCAACTCCAGCCCTGTCAAAAAGGGGTCAACTGCTGCAGCATCCATATATGGATAAACACTAAGTCTAAACTGAAGGTGAGTGGAATGTAAGCATGTTCTCTTTGTGGGCTTTAATCTTTACTAAACCTGTTCAGTAGAGCTGTTAACCGTAGCTGTAATTGCCAAGTCAGTGTATGTACAGTGGTTGCTACAAATCTGCTTTGAGGGGACTTCCATCTTAGTATTAAATGGTGTGCAGGGTAACTGCTGTGAAGCAGTCATGAAGCTAACAGCATCTATGCCTCTCTGCCTCTCATACCGGTTCTTTTTGGCTCTTGCAACTTGCTGAGAAGTAGCAAGCAGATGGAGTAGCTGTCCTCTTTCAGATATAGGCATCTCATTAGAAAATAGTAGATTCCTGTAACTGAAACTAGTGTGTTTTCCTAAATTTTCAATGTACTTGAATTGAATCTCTCCCCTCCTGAAGGTAATAAGTATGTTTCCATGGACTGCTATCTTTAAAACTTAACTACCATATTTGAATTAATGTCTTTCAGGTTCTCTGCCCCATAGGGTGGAATACTGCTACTGGCTTATGGAATAGGGCTGCTAATACAGTTTCCTGATAAAGGAGTAAGGAGAGCTTCCTGTGTCAGTAACAGTGGCCTGATGCTAGGACATTCATAGCCTTAAAGAAGAGATAGAGGATGCAGCAGCATAGTGTTCTTAGTTTCAGCTGAATTAACTGCTCTACTTGAGTATTTTCCTGGTGAAAATACTTGAGTTTACTATTGGATGATCTTGGTACAATATCAGCTTTCACTGAAGAGTTTTTTTTAAGTATGGCAGAAACACTCCTGTGTGATCAGTTTACCCATCATAGTGTTACAGGTGAGGCAAAGCTGTTAGTGATGAGACTAACATCACACAGGCAGACACTTTCTCAGAATGATATGTTAGCTGTTCTTGAGAATCTTGGTGCTTCTTGCATTTTTTTGGAGATTTGAATAGTTTCACAGACTCGATCGTGGCAGATGTTCCCTGCTGCTTCCTTCAATAAGATGAAATCCCAAACCGTTCAGATTCTGTGACAAAGATTGCCATCTGATTCCTGTTCCTGAGACTTTACTGCCAATGTCCCTTTGGAGGGAATAATGTTGCAGCCAAGTCAGGGAGCAGGAAGGTATCCAAGATGTCACCACACAAGGTAGCTGAAAGCTGTTTTTGCTAGAAATGTTAGTCACAGCTTTTGAGCTGATTAAGAATTAGAAGGTAACCTAAGTATGGTAAACGTTACTAAGGGCTGGCCTACAGGGCTTTTAATCTTCCAGGGAGAGACAAAAATAACGGAAGTCATGCTTTCTAACTTATGAACAGCTTTCTAGCATTCAGCTTCAAGGGCAGGGAGGAGAAAGTGTGAATAACTTTGTGAATAACTTGAGAACACTGTTTGATGTGGCCTGCAGCCTGATCTCATGAGGAAGAAGTGACTCTGTAGCACTGGTTCTGAAGAATGATGGTTTGCTTCTCTCTGCAAAAGCCAATTGGTAACTGTTGGAAAAGGGCAGAAATAAGGCAGTGACCCTGCAGGGTCCCAAGTAACAATCGCTTGCATGACTCCTGTTTAAGATACTGTTAAATAAGCTTTCTGAACAAGTTACTCTGGTCAGTTAATCTGGCTATGTTTTTGTCAAATCACTAAACTATAGTCACTTCTTTACAGATGTTGATGGAGTGGTGAATGGAGATGTCTACAAGGTAAGGCAGAAGTATTTTGTACTTAGAATGTGCTGTTATACTGTACTGTAGCTTTAATCTAAACGAATGCTTTCCATGACTTGTCCCTAATGTACTTAACTCGTCCGAAGAGGAACTTCTGTTCTATTATCTTATATCAAAGCTATTAATGCTTCTACTATGCCTCTCCTCTGAACTCAAAGGCAATTTAGAGCAGTAATGTATTTTTCATTATGGCTTCATAGGATGACCACTGTGGGCTGACCGACAGGTTCTGTGGTGTGGCCAGCAAGCTCAGTGGAATGAATTCTGAATACCTAGTTTGAAGCAGACTGTTCCAAACTGCTTGTCCTGTAAGGATAAATCATGTATCCTGCTTGTCTTAAGGTTGATCTTTCGAGGGGCTAACTGATAGAAAACATTGTACAGCTTCCATGTTTTTACGATGATATAAAGTTGCATGAAATTAAGCTGCTAAATATCTCTGTGGTGATATGAAAGCGTTTTAATCAGGCATGGTATGACAAATGCGGAAGATGCTGCTGTACCAGCGAAGAAGGGGGTATGCTAAGGTGGTCACTGTGACTGAATATAACACCAGTTTGGCCAAGGCCAAATACATACATACAATTGTCATTGTATGGTATGAAGGTCAGTTAGATAGCCCTGTTCACATGGGTTATTGGGAAGAGGATAGTATACAAGCTACTTCTCTATAGTGTTTGGAGTGAATGTTCAACTTGGAGACTTGAATAACTTTCATTACTACCAGTATTGTTCTAGCCTCACTTCTGGTGAGAGAGATCATTGTTTCTTTGCATTGTTTCTTCACTGCGACGGCTGCAGGAGGTCCAAAGAGCAACAGGATGCAGCCAAATCTGCTACTAGCTGTAATGTGGGCGATACTGTCTGGAGCGGGATTTACTAGCTCTATTTGGAGTAGTGAGGCAGTAAATTGTTGAACATGGTGTATCCTCTGTGTCAAATAATGTAACATTCAGCAGCTTTGGGAGTTGGATACATTAACAGTGGCCCTATTAGTTGCCTCTCTTGATTGTATGGTAAAATATATCCTAGTAAGTGCACTGTTTTGAAAGTTAAATGATGAGCTGCGTCTTGTGTTCTGAGCTGCTTACTGCAATCCAAATTATGTACTGTCTTTACAGGAAGTCGGCTTTTAATTAAGGTTTACAAATATCTCCGAAGTAGACAAAAGTTACAGAGAACAGCTATAAAGTCCTGTGCGCAATAACAAAAATTTCAAAAGGTTTATTTTTATAGCCAATATTTAAGGTGAGCTGAAGTAGACAACCTTTGAGCCTGTGGTTGCATGCTAGAGTACTGGGCACTGTCTTCCGCTTTCTTCAGGTTTAAAGCTCTGGTATACTTAGACTTCCCAGTCAACTTGAAACTGTCTTTGTTCCCAGGTTGCCAAGGGCAGCCTTGTGTTAATTTACTTAAATTCTGCTGTAATTTGTGATGAAAGATTTTCATCTTCATAGTAAAAATGCAGTATAACACCATGTGAGTGTCTGTGCTCAGCTCGAATAGTATCTAATTTTTTATTGCTTGCAGGCAGTTAGTTGAAATGTACAGTTGTAATGTGTAAATAACTCCTGTCCTCTTTCTTAAAGGAAACTAATGGGCTTACAGACTGCTATGCTGCCATATCACAAGTGGATCGACTGCAGTCAGAACCAGAAAGTATTCGTAAGTGGAGAGAGGAGCAAAAGGAGCGCCTAGAGCAGCTTGGTAAGGAGGGTATTTGCAGTGGCAACTCTTGCTTGTGACTCGCTTGTAGGTGGCAGCTTCTTAAGCAGGGAGAATTCCCGAAACTATGGCTGCTGGCTCTTGGAAAGCTAACCTGCTGCTTGAGCAGCAAGTTTGGTGGAAGATGAGTCTTCCAAAAAGAAGACTGGTGATACTGGTGTATGTATGAGCAAGCAAATGGCTCTGTGAACACTGATCAGAGAGGCTTGCCTTGTACTTACCCGTAAGCTATTCCTCGATCATAAACAGAAAATGAATTTCTTTTATCAGCAGAAATGGGTGTGCAAGAACAGCAACTGTCAGGTTTGTTTTCTGAGGATAAAAAACTGCTCATACTGTAATTGCTGAGGCCGTCTGTTACCATGTGGATCCTAATCCAGTAGTTAAAATAAGTAATGGACTAGTAACTGAAGACAGTTGTTAACAAATGCAGTGATATTTACCTGTAGACTGCTCCAGGAACTCTACAAACTGTCCTGCTTTTCATTTAAATAAGAGATAGTTTTGCCTGATATTATTAAAGCCAACTTTCAGTACATTATCATTCTGGACAGAGCTGAGTCTGTTGCTCTTCCTCTTTACAGCAGGTGGGCTTGTACTGAACTGTACATTGGACCTATAAGCATGCCAAGTGCCAGGCCCCCCCTTGTTTTCTCTAAGCTCAGAGGCTTTACTGAACTTGTTCTAGGGCTAGCATAGAATGACTTTCTGTTTTGGAACAGTTTACAGGCCAAGAGTTACCCAATGAGTAGTCTACACCTGCTTGGTGTAAACTGAAATGAGCTGTGTCAGTTAGCAGCACAGGCATCCTGATTAGCTAATGAACTGAGTATTCAGAGTTCTAAGCCTCAGTCATTAAACCTCTTAGCCCTTACCGGAGTGGATCAAGTGACTCTCTGCACTAGAGTAGTTAAGTCCTAGAGCCATCAGCTGCAATGTTAGCAGGACCCATCTGGATCAGACATGACTGACGAATCAGTTCTTGAATCTTCAGATGCTAACTCACGAAAGCAGGAAGCGGAATGGAAAGAGAAAGCAATAAAAGAGTTGGAGGAGTGGTATGCAAGGCAAGATGAAAAGCTCCAGAAAACAAAAGCCAGCAACAGGTAAGGTTTCTCTAGCTATCTGAAGAGATACAATACTGGCTATGGCAGTAATGGGGCAGAAGGGTTAGAATACTTCCAGCATTTCCAAAGGCACTAGGGCTTCAGATCACTGAAGTAACTCTTCCTGTTGAGAGATAGGTCTCCAGTAGTATACTTATACTAGATTATGGGTTTTTTTTTAAGAGGTTAGATTGAACGTCTAAGGATAGTTATGGAAAGAATGAAGATAATGATACTGAAAGTTCCTTAAGATGCAAGGCTTAAAATTGGCCAGAGTAGGCTAATTAGTCTGCCCACTCGTTCGCGTGCTTCCAGCTGTGCAGGTCCTCAGTGACTGTAATTACCTTGGCACTAGCAATCATACTTGCTGCCTTTACGCATGGAAGTGACCTTCTGGTTAGCCTTTGCCACAGCTTACTTCATCAGATACTGTAAAACCTTTGGCTTCTTCTTGTGGAAGTGCTTGAGGAATAACCTGACTCCGTTCTGCTAGTGCAGAACTAAATGCTGGCTGTATCTAAGCCACTAAATATATATAGGATTTGAATTGGCTTATTAGCTCTGGCGCTGGAACTGATAAGGTTTGGTTGCAAATCTAATTAATTCTTAGACTTAGAGGCTCCCTGGAGGGTTTTGACTTCGTAGGTCTCCAACCTACAGTTTCCGGTGCCATTTTCTCCAGGTAATCACTAGGCCTGCCTTGTATTTTGGGAGCCCACAGAGCTTAAACTGAACTGTGTTTCTGAAACACCTTTTTCTTACCTAAGTTGGCCAACAGGTTTACTTTGAGTAAGTAGAGTTCTAACTTAGTGTTGAGGCAAGGAAAAATAGTGAAGACTGTTCTGCAAGATGCTTTATTGGGTATGCAAGTTAATATCTGATACAGTTTCATGGCACGCTTCTGGGTAGTGATCAAAGCTCCTGATATCACCATATCTTGGTTAGCGTTTGAGCTCAGGTGACTCATTCTGGAGCAGGGCCCATGTAACAAGAGCTGCCATTATGGAAATAGGACAGTGTCCCTCTGAAGGAGGGAGTGTTTGGCATTCTCAGCCTGGTGAGATTTCTCTCCTAACTAGTGTCTTTCCTCTGGGAGGAGAGTAACTTAATGCTGATGTTGGGACTCTAGTCCTCATTTAGCTGGTCACAGCTAGGAAGGATGTAGCAGATCTCTTACGTTGCCCCTCTCAGTCAGTGGCTTAATTGTGATGTGTCATGTGGTAGCTGCTTTCCTAGGTGATAGATGATATGCAAGGTTTATGTGCCTGTTAAAAACTGCCTTCAGCTGTGTTCTGTACTTCTCATCCTTATCTCTTTTCTCCTGCCTGCTTGCCTGCCTGTTGGACAACTTGCTACCTAGGGTGGCAGATGAAGCTTTCTACAAACAACCCTTCGCTGACATGATTGGTTATGTGTATGTTGCTTAACTACTAATTCTGTTTGATCTCCCTCATTATCTACTTGACTAGCAGAAATAGCGCTAAATATCTTAAGGTGACTTCTGCTGAATACTTGATACCAGTATTAACTAACATAGGTAAACAGCCCTTACTTTTTGGACTGACCTTAATTTGCAGTGTTACGTGCAGTTTTCCTGTAAGGTTCCCTAATGCTGCGTGATTTCCATCACTTTCAGGTTAAGGCATGTAGTATGCATACCACTGATTTCGGTAATGACTTCAGTGGTCTGTAGAAGATTGCAGCAGTTACAGTTGTCTCTAGGTCGGTGAAGACTGTTCGGCAAGATTTGGGAGTAACTTGCTGGGTATGCAAGTTACCGTCTGATACGGTTTCATGAGGGTGCTGCACCTAGTCTTAGTCACCCCCACAGAGAATGTATACTCTGTTCTCACAACTTCTTTGCCCATGTAGTCAGAAAAATATTCGAGCAAGCCTTGCACATAAATCTCCGCAAGCCAAGGAAAGCGGGAAGAAATCACTTGCTCTAAGTCAGGATAGAAGAGGCTCTTCTAGACTTCAGGATGCTATTAGTGGCCAGGTGAAAAGGGTGAGGGAAGATGGCGTTGACAAATCAGCCTTAGCTGCTAGCAGAACATCTAGGAGCATCTCTTTGTAGACCTGTTGCCAGCCTAAAGGACTAATGAGAATATACCTGTGACTTTCAAACCCCAAGGTGTTCTAGTTTCTATGGGCTGGAAGGATTGCAATGTTCATTGGCTTGTTCATGCATCTTAATTTTTTTACCTTAATTTGTAGACTTTAATTAAGAGATGGCCATGTCACAGATTCTAAGGTGACACCTTTAGAAGGTGTGTACTTGTGAGCCATGCTGTGGCTTTGAGTGAATTAATATTGGAAAGTCCAATGTGGAATTCATTGCCTAACTGTAGGTGGATGTAAAGCAAGACTTGTGAAATGCTGGATTTACAGGTGGTATTTGACTTTGTCCTGGAGTTGGCTTTGACAGACTTCCCAGTTAAACCCTTGTTTTCCTGTAGCCAATGCTTATGTGCAGTGTAAGTGCTGCAAAATAAAACTGGCAGTATGTTTTCTCAATGTAGGCCAAGCTACTAGTGCATGTTCAGCTAGCTGATCATCTGCATTAAACTCATTCTCATTTTCTATATCTGACTTAAACTTTCTCTCCTTGTTTCTTTTCTTCTCTTCACCTTTAAGCACAAACATAAATCATCCTTGCTACAGCCTAGAACAGTTAAGTAAAAATCTTCACTGCCCCTTAAAAGTGTCATGTCATCTGAAGTAGCAGTGTTGTAGTGACCCTTGTCTTCAGTGGTGTGTGTAACCTAATCATCCCTGTGAACAGTGCTGAATACTCATGGGAGAGTCATCTTCACTGCTTTTTCTGTACTGCTTGTTGGAGTAGATGGATTTGGTTTGATCTTTTAGTGCTTACAGCTCTTGCCCTCAGGCAGCTACCAGGGCCCCACAGTTCACAGAACTAGATGCTGGAGTGTTAAACATGCATTGAAGCAATGCTGTTGGCAGCATAGCAATGCCAAAAGGATACTGCTGAGGAGCCATTGGCACATAATAAGGGGAGGAGAACCCACTTCCTGAGAATCTCGCTTAGATGAGAGCAGGGAAATGTGTTTATCTGGCTAGCTGACCTCAAACTAATCATTCCCTCTGTCAGCATATGCCTTGTTAGTCTATAGCACCTACAAGCATGGAATTCATGACTTAAATTCCTTTTGATTCATGCTACTTCACTACAGCGTTGGGAATCATCAACACATAGTTTTATGATGGCCTGTAGGCCTTGGGGGTGATTTAAATCCTCAAATGGAATCTGTTGTAAGACATGCTGCAGAGAGTTGTAAATTTCCAGTTGGCAAGCGTCCAAAGCAAACCAGTAAGTGTCAGAAGCTTAAGTAACTAAGACTTGGGCATTGCTCTGTAAGTAAAATGCCTATATCAAAGTGCCTTATTTGCTGGCAGTTTGCGTGGTGTCTCCTGTAGGCAAAGACTGGGTAACTACTCTTGAAACCAAACACCTGTATTCCAACATTTTACACGGCAATCCTCTGCACTGCTTGTGCATAGCATACTACTGCAGCCTACTTTCATCTCCAGGGTTGGGGCAGTGGGAGCTTAAGTAGCCATAATGTCCGCAAGCAGCTCTCAGGTCACATTTCTTATGAAACATGCCAAAACAACTGCATCCTTTAAGAGGGAAGGGGTACCTCATGTGTTGGGTATTAACACAAGGTGCATTGCATTACTTTTAGGGCAGCTGAAGAAGCCTTTGTGAATGATGCAGAAGACATTTTTCCAGGCACTGAGTGGGAACGTGTGGCTCAGCTCTGTGACTTTAATCCTAAGTCTAGTAAGCAGGCTAAAGATGTGTCCCGCATGCGCTCAGTCCTCATCTCACTCAAGCAGGCTCCACTGGTTCGCTGAAGGACAGCACGATGGAAACACTAAAAATGCAATATCTTAACTTTACTCAGAGAAGCGTGTTCACAGTAATTGGATTAATTGTTTCAATGTCTTTTTTGGACCAAATCTTATGATGTATCTAAAGCTGATCATTGTATGATTGCATGTTCTTCCTCATGTTTCCTTCCTGTGTCTAAATGGGAATACCTCCAAATTTGTAGTCTCTGTGCTGTTGTGCACTGAGCTGTCACTTTCAACATTACTGATATTAAAGATCTGTTAAACAGCAAAATGTGTTGACTTTGGATGAACTGACTTTGGATGAACTGCTTCTCTTCCACTGAGTGTGAGGTGAGCGAGCAAACGTTTCCCTTAATTGTTAGTGATTTCACCTTGCTGGTGAATGACCAGCCAGCAATGCTCTTGTTCTTTCAGAGGTAGTCCTGCTTGTCCCTAAGCTTTCTTAAAGCTCGTGAGAGCTTTCTTTCCTCTCTAATTTATTACATAAGACAAAAGCTCCAGGAAATGGGAGCAGCAGGCCTGTTAAAGAGCTTATATCACTTCTGGTGAACTGAGGATACTACTTAGGACTTCCTTTGTAGGCAAGCAGTTCCAGGTGGTTTTCTGCCAAATGACTGACTCTCACTCCAGCTTCAGATCTTTGTCTAGAAAAACCCAATGAGGCACTGGGCAGTTGGAGACGTTAGCATTCTTCTGCTGGTGGGGCTGTGCATTCCGTGTAAATGCTCAATGCTAGCTTCAATTACAAAGCCCCATTGTGTGGAGGCTGCCTGCAGCTGAGCTCACTAGGAAGAGACAAACCTGTGCTCTGTGCCTGTAAAGAAGTTTGTGATGTCCTTGAACTGTGTCTTTGTCCTCAGTGACTCTGGCAGACTTTCCCTTACAGGGTGGTAGACTGAAGGCTTAGGCACTAAGAGAAAAGTGCTCGTTTCTGCTCATCAAGCAATTGAGTTGGAGTTGCTGTACATCAAGATGGCTGCATTTAAAACAAACTGATCCAGAAAATCTTTGTACTGTTGCCTCTTTTAGCTATCTGATCTTGGCCAGCATTCACAGGGGCTGTATCCTAGTTTTGCTGTGCTAAAACATTGTCTTGGCTGACTGTCTTAGAATGGTCTGTTCAGTCTTGTGCACTATTTCACTGCTCTGATAAAAATTACAGGTCTCCAGTGTGGCCTAAATAGTCAGTGTGCTCTGCCTTGCACTACAGTTGGCTGTAGTGATTGGAGCTATTCTTGTGCTGCAAGAGAACTATCAGTGTGTGCACAAGCTACTGTCAAGTGGTGATGAAAATGGTAGACTACAGCTCCAGAAGCTTCATTCTACAGAAGATAAAAGCAAGAAAGTATTTTCTGTGCTGCACAGGAATACCACAGGTGAGTCAAGCAAGAAGGCTAGAAGCAGAGAGCAAGTCCTTAGAATAATGATACTCAGTATTAACCCTGATCAATTATGCCTTTAGTTGACTTGACTAAAACTTTCATTTCATCCCTACAGCCCAGTTGCTGTAGAAAGGCTTCGGCAGGATAGTAACTTTAATAAATAGAAGCATTATGCCAAACATACTCAGGTGCTCTATTTAAAAAGTGTTAATAGGCAGTTTGGTTTTCCTGTAACTTGAAAGATTGCAGCACAGCAGATTAGAGGGCTTCCTGTGTGAACTATGGAGCTAGTTAAGCACATTGTCTGACGTCAAGGAGATTTTAACTATGCTAAGAGCATGGTTTTGGGCTGCAATCCAATAAAGCTGGCAAAGAGTCAAATTAAAGGCCAAAGCAATGCTACAGAAATTAAAGCAGTGTGTGCTGGGCAGTGCAGGTGCAGGATCTGCAGATGTTACAGTGATGCTGACTGTGGGAGCCCTTTTGCAGTGCCTGGGTATTGGATGGCCCATTTAAGTCTGTAGGATGTGCTAGGAGAAAGCAGTAGCTTTTTTTAAAAAGTGCAGTACCTATACTGCACAATAAGCTTGTGAAATTCAAGCGATGATAAAGGGACCCTTGAAATAACAATATTTCTTTAAAATTTCAACTTAAATACTGTCTTCATACACTTTCTGTTTAATTAAACGCAAACTTATCACTTCACACAGTATTAGCATTTAAAACGAATGTGCTTCATGCAAAGAAAGATGGAAAGCCCAACATTGAACAGTGGTAGATACAGAGCTAGACTGTTGTGATAGTGGCGTGAGTATATAAGCATAGCAAAGGTGCAGAGAGGAATCATCTCCCAGACCAACTGATTTTTGCGGGGTGGGAGGAACAAGGCATGCAAAGTCTTCAGGTAGGTGTAAAAGCCTAGTAGTAATCTGTGATGCATTAAGGATAGGACTGACAGATCTGTGTCAGGTCAGAACAAGGGCGGTGTACCCAAAACCTTTCCTCAGTTACGGGAGCAGGAGAATGAGAACTGGCTCTGTTACCTGTCTTCTGACTGCCTTGCTAATTCTGATCACGCAACCATGATAGTCTGGTTTTAAGCTACACTGCAGTGTACAAGCAGTGAGTGATTTGGGCACCACTTGGTTTCCACACAGCAACATGCACAGTTTGATCTTGTTTTATGAGAGCTTGCAGCTTGTACATTTGCTAAATTAACCAATTGAGAAGTGCTACAATTACATGTACAATCTAAACCAGGGGATTTGACATCCCATGTTGTCGTCTGAGCCTCATAAACGTTTTCAGTGGCTACTTAAAAAAAACCACCCCCACCAATAAAAAATACACACCCAAGCATATGCTGTCAGGTTATGAAGCAGTCAGCGTTTGGTGCTGGACCAAAATATAACTGAACAAATACATGGTTTTAGCAACTACATTTGGGGACTGGAGCATCTCTCATGTGAGGAAAGGCTGAGAGAGCTGGGCCTGTTCAGCCTGGAGAAGAGAAGACTGAGGGGCGATCTCATCGATGTCTACAGGTATCTGAAGGGGGGATGCTGAGAGGATGAGGCCAGTCTCTTCTCCATCGTGCCCAGCGACAGTACAAGAGGCAACGGGCACAAACTGAAACACGGGAAGTTCTGTCTGAACAGGAGGACGAACTTGTTGACTGTGAGGGTGACAGGGCACTGAAGAGGTTGCCCAGAGAGGTAGTGGAGTCTCCTTGCCTGGAGATATTCAAAACCCGTCTGGATGCGATCCTGGGCAATATGCTGTAGAGGACCCTGCTTGAGCAGGGAGGTTGGACTAGATGATCTCCAGAGGCCCCTTCCAACCTCAGCCACTCTGTGATTCTGTGATTGCAGCTGCTAAAGCACTCATTCCAATACGTCTTTGCTGACCAAAACAAAATTCCAAACAATTATTTGAAGTGGTCTGAGAGGCATACAGTCCAGGCATTTTCCCTTATTAATGCTGATAAACTCCCAACTGCATTTGAAAGGGACACAGGGATCACAGTCTACTCACGCAGACTGAAGTAGAGGTAAGCCCTATCCCATTACTGTCCTGCAGCTCTGATAAGTTTCTGTGATACCAGCTCGAGAATGCCCTCTATTGGTAATATGTCTAATTATGTGACACTTGAATGGAGGTAGTGTTTTAAGACCATCAATGTGCTGAGGCATTTTTTTCATCTTGAGTGTCTGGACAGTAAATCAAAGACTCAAAGTGCAGAATAACTGAACTTGCTGCTGAGGAGAACAAAAAGACATTTCAGGCCTTGATGGAGTTCGCTGTGCAGCTTGCAAAGCATCAGTAAAGATATGCACAGACAGCTAGGTAAACTCAGCTGGTTTCCTTGCAGTCCCAAGTCTTAGCATGGCAGGGTTTCCATGCTTAGGTAGAGCTAGGGTGTGCCCTGCAGTTCTAAGTATTGCTGTTGCTTGCTTGTGTAGCAAGCACACATATGCAGCTAAACATGCTTGGCTGGGGGGAGGGGGGGGGCTGTCTTCATGCGCAAGTGCTAATCTTGAGTCAGGTGCCATTTTGGTTAGAGGTCTGGACAATGGCATTCTTGCAGTTTTCAGTAATGGGGCTTCAGTGCAGCCATGATACCACATGCACTTGTTGGTGATACTGCACAACCAGACCACCTTCTTTAACAGGTAGTTTTGGCTGATGCTGTGAACGCAGTTAACAAGACAGACAGTAATGCAGTGCAAGTCTCAGGCGCTTTAGGCTCTGAAATGTTGGTAACAGCTGGGGAAAGAGGTTTCAGCTGTTGCTAGAACACAGTGCAGTATTGTCTCTTGCTTTCTGTCTCCTTCCCCACGGATAAAGAGACTTGCTCACCCTCACTGCAACGTGTGACTTTCATGGCACAGGCTATTGTTAAGTGCATAGGGCCAAACAGAGAAACCAGAAATTGCTTGTTGCAGATGTTCTGTGAACAGCATTCTCCCCCTGGGATGGGTAACAATGCAGAGTCCTTTTCCATAAAATGGTGGATCCACAACAGCGTGCCTGAGATGAAGTTTCTGGTTGGGGGAGGAGGACAAAACAAAACAAAAACAACACTACAGTCTTTAATATGAAAGAATGCCTTTTAATTGTATAAGCCCACAAACTCCTCAGGGAAAACTGTGAGGAATTCTGCACCACTTGCATTTATGTAGCAGGTTTTTCTTATCCAGTTGCCAGAAAAATAATTTTGACAGTATTTTAAGATCACTTTTCTTAAACGGACAAGACTTCAAAGGTGTTTCGGGATGAACTTTTCCAAAGCACCTTAGTCTTGCATGGGTCCTTACTGCCTGCAACCTCCTCCCAGCTGCTAGTCAGAATCATGCCTGGAGTCAGAGTTATAATGGAAAATAGCATCAGGAGGTCTAGAAAGTGGACGCTAGGTCCCACTTCTGCTCAGGCTGTCCCTGTGACACCAGTGGATGCAAAAGTCAGATGACTGACAGGGATCCTTTCTGTTCAGAGCCTTACTACTGTTACTTCTGAGCTGAGCTGCTGCCATGCTGGGACAAAGCGCATTTCTCCTTGACCTGGTAATGAAGATATCATTTTGGTGTAACAGTTACTGGATATGTCAAGTGCAAATCTTTAAGATACGTTTTTGCCAGTGGCACCTTATTTGCTGGTTTTAAGAAAGATATACAAAGACTGGTGTAGGAGGTTTGCGGGAGCAAGCTGTATAGTTTTTCTTGGAGACACTGAAGAAGAGTTGGTGTTGGTCCTAAAGTCAGTTACAAAAAAAAAATGCAAATGCTCAGCTTTCCCTGCACAGGAGAGGATGAAGTGAAGGCTACTTGTGTAATTATTTCATTGTTGATTCATTTCAAGAAGCAGTCAATAAAGTGGTCCACTATAGTCTACTAATGTGTATTCACTCCAAGGTTATTGTGTGGCAGATGGCAGCAACTGGAAAAGGGTGCTTCATTTTGGCTGTTGAAAAATTCTTTGAGTCACGTTTGTGGAAAAAATCCCTCTAATTCCCCATACTAGTATATTACTATGCAGAAATACAGACCTGCTGAGAAATACTGACAGCAGTGGTTGAATTAGTGGTTGTTAAAACAGATCATGAAATGCAAAGCAGATAACAATCTCATGACTGTTGCCCTGGCAGGTGTCTTCGGTCTGGGAGAGCTGATCAGTTAGGTGGTTCTGTTTTTTAGTTCTTCCTTGTGGCAAGTAATTGTCATCAGGTTACTCTGACAGTATCTTGAAAGTGTGCTAAAGAACAGTTGGATAAAGACAGAACTGTATTTATGTCACAAAGTTGTGGTCAAAGAAACTTGCCTTACACGGTCAAGAGGGCTTCTCTGCATGGCCTTCAACCTATGATGAGATTCCCGGACAGTCTTATCTCCCTCACAGAAAGCCTTTCTGGTAGAAAGTTCCACTGTATCATACTAACCATGGTTCACCTTAGGCAAGTGTTTATTGATACATGACATATTCTGCTCCTTGGCCACTGAATGCCTTGAAGGTGAGCATCAGGCCTCAGATTTGACTCTCCATCCCATGAGCTGATGGTGAGTGCAAGTCAAAGAACAATGTACCTCCACCAGCATGGCTGAGGAGATGCACTATGTTACTCTGCAGTGGATGAAATTTCTTGAAAAGTAGAGGCTTTATGCTCAGCGGTATCGCATTAATAGAATTCTGACTGGCCACCCTCTCTGCTGTGGGAGACAAAATGTAGTTGACCAAGTCTCTTGAGAAACAAAATCCTTCCCATGCAGTTTACCACAAAAAAAAAAAAGAAACAAAAAAGAAAAAAAAACCCAAAACCCAGAAAACCCAGAACAATAACATTCAAATAATTTACTGATGGCCATAGCCAGATGATGAAGATGCTCGCTGCTATGCTTATCATTTTCTTTGGACAGCTCTGGCAGCCTGTAAACTCAAAAGATCACAGTCTTTTTCCTTCATATGCAAAGATTCTAAAATGGGACTTAGCCCTCTAAAGGTGCTGCAATAAATAACTGCCTCTGCCAAGTCCTTCGTGAACCACAATTTCTAGATGCAGCCCTTCTGTTTGTAGAGGTAACACCTCTCTTCTTTTCACCCACTGAATCTACTACCTACTATTTCTAATTACATATTTACTTGTGAGTGGAAGCTTGGAAATGGAAAAGCTAGTCAAATTGTAGGTATTTCATTTCATATAGGTGAGAAATAGCATGTAGGACCTGAAGCATTAGCTATAATTTGACATACCGCCCCACATCTGGTCCCCACAGTACATCAAGATTTGTTCATAAATAATTCAACTACACCTAAAGCAACATCTGGGCTTGCCCAGAGAGGTGATTAAAAACAACACAATTGCACATTAGTTCCTATGAACTTGGACAAAACTGAGAAAAAATACAGAAAAGATACCACCTCAATTAGGAATTGCCAAAGTAGTCCCTAACTATTTGGAACACTACTCTGATTCAGTAGCTGCTCTGGTCAAAGAAAAAATTTTGGGTACAGTATTCCCTCCACCCATTTGGAATTTGAAGAGTCCATTTATATAATTCTTCCTGGTACCTAGTATGTTCTACGTGTAGTATAATCCAGTACTAGGCTAGCAGCTCCAAGAAGAGCAGGATCTGCTAGATTTGAGACCACCACATCCACAGTTTTAGCAGAGGACAAAGCCTGTCGATGTATCACGTCTTTAACAGCATTAACATAGTGGCTGGCTAGAACTCCAGACAGGATCACGAGAGAGGGATTCATGGTGTGCAGAATATTCACAACTCCAAGGCCTAATGCTGTCCCAGCTGAAAAAATACAGATAAATTAAGTAACAGACAGTAGTCCAAGCATCAGTTGTTGAAATAGGTCTGTTTGTTAGCAGCAAATAACACTATGGTCAGGAAAGCTTTCTGTTCCATATGGCAGACAGTTATGAGTTTATGTTTAAGACAGTATGAGCTTGCCATTAATTTTCCTTTCAAAATAAAAGGAAGAAAAGGCAATTTTATTGCAGGATAATGCATTATACAGGGATACAGTTGTCAAAGATAAAGCAATGTATTACCATGCTTGTAAGAGAAAAAAGGAAAATGTTCTGCTACTAAATTTGTGCTATCAGCTCTGTATGAGGAAGAAGATTGTGTTTAAAGCTTGTAAAACAATAAAACATCCCATATAAAGTTATATGCTGATTGCCCTTGCTTGCTCAGACTAGGCATTCACTTGCCTATCATGAAATGTCCCACTGTTTTCCAAAATAATATGAAAATATTGAGATCTCACCTTTTTTTTTTTTTTAATATAAGGACAAATTGATTTTTGCAGGAAGTTTTCATCTCATTCCCCAGAATAAAGACTCTATAAATAACATGCAAGCTGCTTACATTTCTTCCCCACTTGGTATTTAACATGCCATTACCATTTGTAATTATACAGGGATCCTCAACTCTAATGCAAAACTACGCATTTGTGGTGTTACAGTCTTACCTGTTCTGAGAATGCTGTCTGCTTTTGCATTCCCAAGTTTAGCTGCTTGAATGAGATGTGCAGCACTGACAACCTCCTCCTTCTTCATGGACATTCCTTCTACTAAAAGCAGATCCTCTGTAGTGGAGGAGGGAAAGCCAAGAGGAAAACACAGTGATGTGGTGAGGCAAGAGATGGAGGATGATAAACAGGCAGTTAGATCTTTACATTTCTGTTACTTGCATACCGAAGCCTGGGTGCTGAGAAATCCACCCAACCCTGAGTTTAGTCAAAGCAATCATATCCATATTATTCCGGGATTTGTTTGTACAACCAACACCTCAAATTCAAACAGTTGCAATATGATAATTCATTAGTCTTGCCAGCCCCAAAACTTAATAAGCAAAATTATAAAATGTTTTCACCCTTATCCCAGTCTGGGAAGCTACTGCTGAAAGACAACCACTGTGAAACTAGACTTCTTGCAAAATGCCCATGAAAATGGCTACCTTGTGGCATGCTTAAAAAACCAGAGGCTAAGCTCTCCTACATGTTTGTGGTAACTTTGAGACAAAAGGTTCCAAATGTGGCTTGCCTGGATACTGCCATAACTGAGAGAGAAATGCACTGTACTGCAAAGGTAGCTGCTGCTGCTGCTGCTGCTGCTGCTGCTGCTGCTGCTGCTGGGGTGGCCATACACAAGAATTCCTATCTGATTGCCCTTATGCTCATTCTCTTCCAGGAAAAAAGGAGGCATGTCCTTTTTTTTCATGTCATCCTTGCAAATTTCACCCATGCTGCAGTTTAGCAACCCATCTACATTTTTTTTTTAAGATAAAGTACATAGATACCGTCATGCAGTTTCTTAGCTTCTCTCTGTAAGGCTATTCCAGAGGCATATGCTTCTATACATCCTTGGCTACCACAAAGACACTCTGGTCCATCTAAAGATACAACAATATGCCCAAGTTCAGCAGCGCAGAAAGAACTGCCATGGATCAACTCGTGCTGATGAATGATTCCACCTCCAATTCCTGCAAAGGTATGAAAGTTGATGAGCGTAAAAAAGATAACATACAGACCAAATTCTTTCACGTTTGCTTATTCTAATAGAGATAAGATAAAATACAGGCATCAGTGGTCTTCTATACTGGCAACCAAGTGAATGACTGGTTACTGAAGAACTCACCTCTGTTCAACATGCTCCTAGAAAGCAAGCTTATAGCTCCCTTCCTACCCTTATGTAACAAAATGGAACAAAATGTTCATCCTTTCTTCCAAGCTTATGCTCAAGCCCATGGAAGGTACTAAGGTACAAAAAGCGTCGCAGGACTACTATGACAAATCTTGTAAGCTAGTAGGTCATGCTCTTCATGCACAAAGCTAACCTTTCAGGTGGCCTTAAAATTTTGCATTTCAGAGAAGATGCTTTAACACCATAGTTAGACATCTACACAACGCTTGTAACCTCTATGCCAATGAGCCAGGACTTTTACACCTGCAATCTGCTACCTCTTCACAAATCCCAAGTGGGGATTCTTCAACTAGTTATCATGGCCACCATTCTAAAGGACTAAACAAAGGAGAAAAGTTACCTCACATTTGCATTGGAAATATAATAAACACAATTTGTCACGCTAAGTTGCTCATCTAGCTAGTTCAGATGCCTGTCCTGATCTGACTTGTGTTTTCCGTAGCTGGAAGAAAATTAAATTAAGCTATATCACAAGATGATTCCAGTCAAAGTTGCTCCGGTTTTGCTTACTTAAAATGGTTTGTCTGCACAGCTATATCAGCAGAACGTCTTTTTATCAACGCAGCTTTTATGCAATGCCAAATGTTCCGTATGCCTTAAGAAGTTAAAAAAGTACTGCAAATGGTACAAATGGATACAGTGGCAAAGGATTTTTGCTTAAAGAACTTCTTAATATGTTAGGCACAATGCAGGCACAATACTACTGTTCATGCTTTTAAGAGGAGCTGAGCCTCTGAGTGATGGTGCTAGTATATGGACTTTAGGTCTCATTTCACTACAATCTACTTACCTGTACCAGTGATGAGTGTCACAAAATTTTCTATTCCTTTACCATGACCAAATTTCCTCTCTGCCAAAGCAGCACAGTTTCCATCGTTGTCCACCCAGACCGGCAAGTGCAGAGCATCAGATATTGGGGTTCTGAGGTCCACACAGCTCCACTCCTGAATGAGCTTGGTGGAGTGAAGCACAATTCCTTCTCGGGGATTTACACGTCCACCTGTGGAAATACCTAAGTCCCATAAACACAGGAGAGAGAAAGCAAAATTAAGCGTGTGCAATCCTTGAAAGTAAAGATCTATTTTTCCCTTCTGCAATGCAAAGTATTTTTATTTTGAATACTAGACTTCAAAACTGCTGAAGTAAAAATCTCTTAAGTCTTACTAGAAGTGCTGTTTCTGATGTGAAGAGAATTAACAGAATTTTACTGCTCTGATGAAGACGCGCCCAATATCCTAAGATGAACTAGATGGGAAACAGTTAGCATTAGTCAATAGAGAAGTCAGCTTCTTTTACTTCACAATATTGCAGCAAATCACTCAATCTTCATGTTTTGTCCTAGTCATGTAGAAAAGACATAACAAACTACACTGAATAAATTGTTTAAACCATGCAACAGTAAAAATGCCTTGAAATTTGCTCTAGCTTTTCTAAATCAGAATGACTAAAAAGCAATCACTGGACTTGTGAGTGGCCAGTTCTACTAAGAAATATAATGTTTTCCTTGTGAAAGTACCAAAGTACTTTCAGAGAGTTCTCTGCTGAATGGAAACATGGTTAGTACTGTTTCACTAGCTGGTGGGGATTCCAAGGTTGATGGGCTCCGGGAATACCTCTGAAAAGTAAGCTACCCTATTATGCAAGTATTTAGCTCTAGAAAACAAAGTTTGAACATTTTACCCATTATCATTATACAGAGATTATATAATTGTGGAGCTTAGCTAAAGATGTCAGAAGACCCTGTGAAAGAAAGTCCATTTGCTTAATTAATATTATAACAGAAAGCTGCCGCAACCGCCATGTGACCTGCTGCTCAATTAAGGACTAAAGTCGCGACAGGCATGAAAATCTCACTTTGTGAAGAACAAGTTAACTGTAAACCTGTTAGCAAGTGCCTACTAGACATGTCATTCCCAGAAACATACTGAAAATCTGTGAAGGTCTCCCAAGGATTTAAAAAAAAAAAGTTTATTGCAACAGAACCTTATTTAATAGTTGCTAACTCAGCAGTAGGTTAGGAAAACATGCCGACTCTTTGATAAATTCTAACTTTGATAAATCCTGCTCTCTTATCTCTGGAATCAAATGAAATTGAGCCAGGCTGTACTCTTGTGGGCTGTTCTTCTCACAAACCTTTTCTAGGAAGACAGCATGATTAAGGTATTATTTTCCCGTAAAACAGAATAGCAACTTAGGAAAAAAACCCTGCAATACGGTAGAAGGAACAGTCCTTTCCCTGTGGACTCATGCTGTAGTTGTTGTAAATGAGTACAGGAATACCAGAAGGTACTCTTCTCTCCACCATCAGCTCCAAAAAGATAACTTAAATGCTGCTTCAGGAAACACTATGTTGTCATCACAGAAGCGATTCCCAGTGTAACTGGGATACTGATAGCACTCTACTTGTTAATTACAGAACATAGCATGGGTAATATATTTTTAGTAAATTTACTGCCTAGTATATAGCTCTCACAAGCACCTCTAAGCAACATGTATAGATCTGGGTTTCCTTTGTTCTTTCTCCTCATTTATTACCAATGAATATTACTTTTATAAGTAAAAGCTACCTATGGTAGCTGGAGACAGCCAGTGTTACTGATACAGGCTCCGAGATTAAGTCCAGCCCTTCTGTTCAGTTTTGCAAGGATTCTTCCAAAGTTATAGGAAGACTCCAGCTAATGATTATTAGCTTTAAGGAAGTAACTACAATCTAATACCTTAATGAATCCTATGAGAATTACATGTCTTTCTCTAAAGAGAAACTGCACTTCCAGCTAGTATTCTCATTCAAACTACGAGAGCATGCTGAATGAGGCAAGAAGCAGTTAACAGAAAGAAAACAACCAAGTAAGAAATTTCTCATTCTGTGGCCAACTTTTTACCTCATTCATCACTAACTGAACGGTAAGCTATCAGTCACAGAAAGAAGGAGGCAGAAGGATAAACACAAACGTAATTCTGGCAGAATGACAAACAAACTTTCGCCACATAAAGAAATAAAACTGTAACCCTGTTTCTGTAACCTCATTATCATAATAACATCTAGCTGGCTATGAACTGTTCTCAGATGTCTGGAATACTGACTGCGGCAGGATTTACTGTTTTTGCTACAAGAACTATGAGGCTGTCAGGATTTAGCATTTGGACAGAATAAAATACATTGGGTGGTTCAGGTATGTGTACTACCTATGCCTGAAGTACCTTTCATCTTTCAGCAATAAAGCTGCAACCTCCCAGAGAAACTGGATGCATTTTTTTTTTCCCCAGAAATTACAGAAAAAGGAATTTTCCCTAAATGGAAGAGTTCCTTACAGTTTAGAAATAAGTTACTCCCCATGAAAACTGCACTGTGCTCCTTATTATGGAGTCTCTACGATCAAAAGGACAGTGCCCTGCACATACCTGGATAATACCACTTTGTCTGGTGTCAGACCTTCTGTACTGTTGAGCTGCCCGACACCAAACAAGCCACTCCGTGGAATCTTTAAGGCACTGGATATTGTAAATTTAGAGACTACTTTTGCATTACATTATTATCAAGAAACTGGGATTATGTATGACCTGCCTTTCTCTCTGTGAGCTTTCTGCGTTCCTCTACATTTACTAAAGGAAATTTGTCAAATAAGCAATATCTTCTATTACAGCTTTATCTGGATAGCAAAATGTAGCTGCAATTAGTGGAGGACCATAGATGAGCTGATCTTCTCTTCCAGTGCTAAGGCTGTTAATTGCAGGTATCCCTGATGCAAGGGAGATGGTTCTCACAGAGGTCTCTTGTTTTTCTTGCAGTTAATTTTCTTTATTATTTTTTCTTCTTCTATTTCTATTTATTTCTATTTTTCTTTTCTTTTCTTTTCTTTTTTTTTTTTCTTCTCGGTGGTTCAGAAATTCCAAAGTGCCTTCCAAAGCGGGAAGAGGAAGACAGTTAGATGCTCCTCTATTAGCATACACAGACACATATTACAAAACTGAGTGGATGTAAGAAATGCAGTTCCCGGGTCGTTTCACACCTAAAGAGAGACAATCTGCCTTACCAAAGGGCAGGGCTTATTTTTGAAATCTACCAGAATCAGCACTGAACAAACTGCAATTTCCATAAGTAAAGGCATTTAAAAAGTTTACTACTACGGAGCTAATGAAGCTAGACAAGAGATACTTTGGTTCACTTACAGTGAAAGTAACCTGAAAGATTTGATTTGAAGGTCTGACATATTTCTTCCCATGGTTTTGTGTACTTAACATTGTTTGAAAAAACAACGTTTTTAAAAGTTCAAATTAACTTTTTTTCCTACCTTGGGATTCAAGTAAGTTTTGGTCTGGAGCAAAAGAGTTTTTTTTTTTCAGGTCATTTTTCTGCCAAAATGGAATGAGGATTTTATGTACTCCTTAATATCCAGGACACTTACATCAGTATCTCAAAGCGAAGCTCAGACTCATCATGAAACTGAAGAAGTCGACACTGGTTACAATATAAACACATACTAAGGTGGATCTCTACTACATTTTAAGCAAAATGGAAATGAACAAAAACACTGCTGTCATCTCTGTTAGCTCCAAAACTGATCTAACATTTTGGCCCTTTTACTCTGCCCTATTCTGCTGCATGGCTGACCCTGGCCACAGAGAAAGGCTGACAGGCACTAGAGAAAACTGCACTCGGCTGCAGGAGTCTCAAGAGGAGTTCCAATATGCACTGAGCATCTAGCCACACATTTCTCACACTGCAGGGGCTTGAAAAGCCACTTCTACTTATACTGTACCTTTTAGATGAGTTCCGTTTAGAAGAACTGTTTACATGTCATTCAAAATCACAACCCTATACTCAGAGACCATATAATTAGCACAAACAGCATTTTTTGGGGTAGCGAAGGAACCTGTACTATAAGTTTAATGGTGCTGTAGGTCAGGACTTGGGCGCTGTTACAGATTAGCAGACTGCTTTCATAGCTCATACAGTCTGGGGCAACTTCAGATAGTATCTTCAGCTTCTCATTTTCACAGCCATTTAAAAAAGTTACTGTGTTAGAAATATAATTTAAGAGCATCAAAATATACTCGATCTGTTTCAGAAAACTGTTTTAAATTAACCTGTAGTGATTTCATTCAGTGAAATTCTCAGAAGAAAAGACATTAACTTACCCACTCCCAAAATTCTGCAGTTTACGTTTACTGCCTCCGATGCAGCCTCTACACACATCTTCAGAATTAATTCTAGTCTGTCTTCATAAGTCTTAGGGTTGAGCTGGGTATACTTTTTAACTATTTCACCCTAGAAAGTAAAAAAAACAAAACCTGCACCATATAAATGTACTTTATGATAAAAGTTCTTTCCAATTGCAATTATGGGTCAACGCAGAAACGGAGAGCCACAACTTTTCTCTTTAAAAACAAAAACAGATGCATGCCTTGAGTGCTGGTCATACAAGCTGTTCTGTGAAAGAAGACTCCTGTCAGCCTGGAGGAGAAGTTTGCAAGATTAGGCCTTATGAATTCAACCTCCCCTATCTGAAATACAGTACATATTTTAAAGAACACATGAGCAGTACAAGGAAGTATTACAGGGGCTGCTGGAACTTCGTTAGGAGTAAACCTTGATACAGTTACAATCAACACTATCAAGCATTAAAAGAAGTACGAGAATAACAGCCGCTAAAAAAGGCAAACCCCCCGCCCAGTGCTTTCAGAATGAAATGTTTCCAGTCTGACCACATGGGATTTTGCATGGTGCCATAAATATGGCTTTTCTACCAGCAGGAGGAGAGTCAGCCAGAGAGAAATGCTTAGAATTTCAGCGCTCAGTTTACATTGCTATCCTGTCAGAAATGATCTGTTTTCTAAACAATTATGATTGTGAGTCACTTGAAATATTTCCGCAGTACCGTCTACCGTGACGTCTGTGGTGTGTGGGAGGGAAGGTCCAGGAGAAAGGGACTATTTTTATAGCCTGGGAGTCACGCAGCCGTCTGAAAGCATTCATTGTGCACGCCTGAATCTGTGAGTGCCTAGGAACATGAATGCGATGTTAATCTTGTAGGCTTAGGCCAAGAAATTTGAGAAGCTGGTATTTTGCCTAGCAATGTGCTCTCTCTATTATATCTGGAGTACTACACGCCCCATGTAAATGAAGAGCAGTGTTTTAATACAGCTATGGACAAAGGAGTAACAAAGTCGGTCTATATGCATACGGGCTGAGTTGTTGTTGCAGAAATAACTTAGGAATGCCAAGACCCTGATAGCATTGGATCCCACCACTTCAGGATTACACCAGCAGTGGGGTTAGTTTTCTGTTCTACTTTAGGCTCTCTTTACTTCTTGATTTGAAGCAGGAGAGGAATCAGAGGAAATTATACTGGAGGGCAAGGTTGCAGGAACCAGTTTATCTGAAGAGACAACAAATTTTAAAACAACTGTTTCCAGAGCTCTTGAAAGCTCAGTCATTTTCTTCAAGAAAAGAAAACTATACCTTCAGTTCTGCCACATGCTGTTAAATGCTTACAGCTGTTGTGTAGACTTTATTATGGTATTTCTTTTTGCTCCGACTGGTAACGCTTTAACTTTCATAAATGCTACTCTCAGCTATACCCTTCAAAACAGACAAGTTTTTTTCAATTCATTTGTGTTTCTACCTGTGTCACAGTCTTACTTTCAAAAAAGTCATACTTAAAAGCTCTCTTCAAGACCTTATCTACCAGACATCTCTTTGTAAGGGAATGAAATTGTGGACCACAACACGTCCATCTGCATAGTCCTTCAGGTTGCTTGAGGTAACATGTTTTTCTTTCTGGGTAACTATGTCCAACTGATCTGGTTATCTGGAGGCACACAGTGTTAACCGTAGGAGTAAATATCCAACACCGTCGAGAATAAAAGCCAAAAGCCTCTGGATATCAATTTCAATCAAATCCTTACAGTGCTTAGGAGTTCACAGTTTTTACGTTTTTCCCAAAACAGGAGTACAGTTGTCTAAGTGAGTTAAAATTCTTCAGTCCTAACTGTCCTTCTACTAATCAAGCTAGATAAGAATTATTTCAAATATATTTACACCATCACCAAATAATTTGTTATCCCATTTTTGCCAAGAGCTTGAGGCTCCCAAGTTTAAACAGAAATTCCATTTTTGAGTGGTCTAGATAATCAGCTGATGGTATGAGTGTATTTGCTTATTTCATTACAGGATGCCTTTACAGGTGATTTAGCACCAGGCTGATATTTATGCCTCTTTGGTTGCCTCATGTGCTATTTTTTTTAGGATTTCAGTGTTCGATATCTTTCGCCAAGTATAAATTTTCATCTTTCTAACTCAGCTGGCAAATGTTTAAGATATTAAATATTTTGCCCATAAATGGCAGAGCTATGCAAGCCATGCATAGTTATTAGTTGTATGGCATAGGCTAAAGAAAGCTTCTTACTGTACCATTATCAGGAAAATGGGTTGAGGAGCTCCTGAGCACGCAATTCATTAAATCACAAAATACCCTTAAAGCCTAAGCATCTCTCCATACAGTCACTAAAGCATTTCAAGGTTATTTCAGAAGGCTGAAAGGTCTTTTATCACAGAAGGAGAAGCACCGTGGACTCAAAACTCATTCAGTCTTTCAAGTACCTAGGAATTCTAGCGTAAGTACCAAATGCTGCTTCTACTGAAGATGGCATTAAACGATCAAGCATCTCTTTTCAGACATCAAAGGGAAAATGATCCCAGTCAACACAATCAGTCAAAACCCCAGAAGGCATTTCAGAAGATCATCTTGTGATTCTAATGCACTCTCTTTTACGAATGCAAGATCAACAAGCAATAATTATGGTGTTCTTGAGAGACCTTTTTTTCATCTGTTCCTAATTGTTTAGTGATGAAGACACTACCCTCTTCCAGGTTACCTATTCCAACTTTCTACTGCATTGATAGCTAAGCTAGATACTAAGAAAAACTTTGGAAGTTTCTCCTCCTGCAGTTTCAATCCTTTACTACTTGTTCATGCACAAGTAAAACAGATTTTTCTCCTCCTCTTGGAAAAGGCTTCTGCATATTTGAAGACTTTTTTTTTTTTTCCAGTCAGTCTCCTCTTCCCTGGACTAACCAATTCCAATTTCTTCAATCTTTCCGTGTTTTCTAGGGCTGTAGTAATTGTTGTGGCTCTACTCCAGATTGTCCTCAACTGGTCTACATTTCTACGGTGTAATGCCTTACACTGAACACTAAGGCCAACTGAGGCCTGGCGCTGTCTTACCAATTATGCTTCTATGCAGGAAGACCTTGGAAGAAATTAACAAATTTTTACTAGCCTGTCTTCTGTTGGTAAAGGAGATGCAAGGACTCTGCATCCTGAACCCTGAACCCACCCTGAACCCACCCCCACTTCTTCAATAAACTGCTTTTCTAGCTCTTGACTGCTGTTCGGAAAGATTCTGTGTCCATTACGTGGCTCTGTAAGGCAACTGGAAAGGAAGAAAACTGCTCCTGGAATCTTTCCTTTCTGGTATGAGCTATAAAAAGCTGCAGAGTGAACTGAGGCACCTTTGTTTTGGGGACTAAAACATCTGAAAGTTGTCCTACTCTTCTAGGGCCAAATGACTTCCCACAGAGAAGCAGCAGCTGGGGCCACGTGCTGGGAAATGGGCTTTGCTAGTTAAACAGCAGACTTTGAAGAGCAAATTGTAGCATGACTTGAGGAGAGGGGCATCAAATGGGTAAAAACCTGCTCAACCCCTGAAGAGCAAAATCTGGTAGGATTTCTGGAGGTCTTGTTTATCATCAGCCCATCCCTAGTGTACAAAAGGAATCACAAAGCCTGATGGAGTCTGCAGAATGTATAAAAGCATGACAGAGTGTTTACCTTCATACTGACAATTGCTACTCGGAGATTTGTTCCACCTAGATCCACTGCCAAGGCACTCTGTGTCTCTAGAATATGGTCGATATCTTGAGAGATATTGTCTTTGACAGGAGGAAAACAGAATTTCTTTTGCAGTGGCTCTTCGAGGTCAATAGATTTGAGGAACTTCAGAATTCTTGGAACGGCATTACCATCTCCATATATTTTTGAGCTATAATATGAATAAAAAGACCGATTGTAACGGGTATGACACTGCAATCTGTGGAATTCTTTTATATGACAGAAGGCTGTAACACTGTATCGTTACAAAATTACAGTATGGCTACTATGACAATACTGCACCTCAGACTACCTCAGCCAGGCATGGGATATGGTAGATATTTCATTAATGTACAGTAGTTTGAAGATTACATTCAAAAGATTGTGCAAGCTTGGCATTAGGTCCATTTTGGAATATAAAACATGCAATGTGAAAAAACTGGAATATTAAAGACACCACAAAATTAAATGAAAAGTTAAGGGTTTAATGAACAAACTTGCATACAACAGCTCTAAAAATTATGGGAATTAAGAACTATGAGCTTCTGGTGCTACCTGTCCAGACAACATGTACTTATCACACAGAGGACAACTAGGTGATATTAATGGGTACAATTCATGCCAGTCTGCAACAGAGAGAAGTCTGGTTTCAAAAAAATCACCATATATGGCATCAGACATTTAATAAAACACAATTCAATTTAATTACTTTATTGAGATTCTTCACAAATACACACTTGATTCTTGCCCTTAAGCACGTGCAATCTCATGAAGTTTATAACAACTTAGTTGTTTAAGAACAACAACACTGCAAACACTACTGTGTGAAGACCAATGAAGGCATCTTGCTGTAATCCAGTATCTCTTCCGGGAGCTTGCTCTCTAGAGAACATGCTGGAAGTCAAGCCAGCTATAAAGCAGTGTGTCCTCCAAGCAGGAGGAGTCAAAGATGGGCAGACAGATGTTCTCCCCTGTACTACTGCTACGGAACAAGCTGCATAAATCATGCTAGTCCAAGCTAACAGCTAAATGTTGACCTTCTGACTTTCTTTAGGATGTTAAAGTGCTGATTATACCAAAACATTACTAGTAATGTTTACTCTATAGGTACTAATCTGCATACAGGACATTGCACTATGATTCTGAATGGGCCATGTAAAATGAAAAACAATTTGTAGCTTCAGGTTAGCATGGTGAAAATATCCTGGTCAAATAGGATGAACTACCTCAAGACTGAGTGCCTTTTTCTCCGCTGCTTTAACACGCCCTGTGAAGCAAAACAAATGCACTTACCATGGATACTGTTTACCAAACTGAAGCTGCAGAGCATGCAGAATCTTATCCTGTGTGTCAGCATCACGAACGTGAAGAACATTTTCACCTAGATGACAAAAAATGAACGTAAGAGAACAGGTCAGCTACTTAAATGATATTAGACGATAAGAACTGTTTTATAAACGAATAAATAATTAATTTTGTGTCCTCTGAGCAGCAATGACTCCAGCCAGACGGACATTACTGTTGCTCTTTTCTGTGCCTGCTCATGTTCCCATGTAAGCTATGGTTATTCCTATGGTAGTGTCATGCACTAGAGAGTAGAAGATTAGCCTTCAATGCAATTCTCATAAATAAGAACACAGATGAAAACGGGAGGTAACAACTTCTTGTGTTGTATCTGCACGACTGTGAAATATCACAAAACAGATACTTTCTGAAGTGCTGGAATTTGTATTTTTAAAGTGAAAGTTTTATACATGTGAAAGTTTTATACATGTCAAACATCAAACTAATTATACAGAAAAAATATTACTTGTCTATTCTGGCAAATGCAAGCCACTACAAACGGAAATACATTTTATTTGAGCCACTTTGTAGGTAAAAACTAGGTTTAATACACAAAAGTATCACTGACGTGATGACAAGAATAGTCAGTGAAGCTTTAAAACAGGTCAAAAATAATATGGTGCTGATACTGCAAGATGATATCTGGCAAGCATCTGTTCGACTTTATTCTTTCGAACAAAACAAACTCAGAACTCCAAGGAAATTAAAGTAGGTAAGCAAACCTGTTTCTCTTCCAGTCTGACGCGTCCCCAAGTTGATGACAGGCGTACCAAATGCTCCCACCTCTCTGACACCACAGCTGCTGTTCCCGATCATACAACCAGCATGCGCCACTAGCTGAATGAACTGGTCAAATGGAACATGCTTTACTGCTCGAAAATTGGGATGGTGTTCAATGCCCTTCTTCCTCATCACCCGAACCATCTCCTTGCTTCCTACAGAAAAACACAGGGAATGAACATATGATTCAAGTTTTTTTTGTTAAACTGAAAGCCTCAACATGCAAAGGAGCTGATAGCAGTCGCTTGAATTACCAGCTCCAAGCCATTTTTGTTCTCTTTTTTTATCCCCACTGTGCAAAATTTTAGAACTGGGCAACTAAGCCGAAGTTTGATCCCATTTTCCACTGGAGAAGTCTTTGTATAAGTTTTAGTTAATGCAGGAGCACTAATGTTGCTTTTGGGTGTCACATGGCTTCCTTTCATCTTCCTCTCAAGACTGAAAAGATGAGATGTCCTGCAACGTAACCATGGAGCTGCAGCGGATGCACATCTGATGCTGAGATCATCCAGCTGTTTCCACCTGGCTGGGCATTCTGGCTTGAAAGCACTCTATAAGAACCAATGTGTTCTTTAAAGCCAATCTGTTAGCCATCACGCTATTAAAAAGGCATCAGTACCAATTTTACTCACCTGCATCCACGTTGGGGAATAGAACAAGCGTTCTCTTGTTGAAGGAGATGAGTGCATCTAGCGTCAGCTCAAACATCTTTATGGAATGCTTAATGTCTGTGGTCACAGGATGCTGCAGAGCAACTATATAATCTCTGGGTTTGACATCTTCACCTGTTCAAATGGAGCCCAAGAAGTTTTTTACTGGCAGAGAATGAACGAGGAACGGAGGACCTTGTTTTCAAATTACTGATGTGAATGCCTGCACTGTCTAGGCACTGAATAGGACATCTTAGCACGTGAACTGCAATGCTACAGTAAAACTCAAGAGAGTAACAGGAGGATCTTTTCTTTTTTTGCCTCTCTAGGCAAGACTCATAACTGGTACCATTGTCAAAGGCCAACATACAGTTACTTCGTAGGCCTTTCCCTAAAGCTTTGCAAGACTACACATCAGCGTGAATCTGGAATAATGTGAAAGCCCTTGAAGTTGCTCTCAACTTACTACCTGCAAGGCTGTTTCACAACAGCAAACACATAAGTATCACTCATACTGTGGCATTTAATTCTCACGATGACTCATTACTCAGGATTCCTGTCAGTTCTCCAATCCTCAAGCAAAGAGTTTGTTCCCATTGCTTAAAAAAAAATGGGAAAGACACAGTCTTATGTGTTTCAATACATCTGTTGAAAAGTTTACCTGCCAAGTCTTCACCTACTGATCTAACAAGACTCCAGCTTCTATCTGCACAGGTTAACACACCTTATAGGACATTTCTCTGCCAAAAATAAACAAAACTCCACTGTTTGCAGGAATTATCTGTTAGCAAATGGATATGAAACACTGAAAGTCTTCGATGCATGTTGCACTACTGCAATGTTCAGAACATAAATGCCCTTTAATGTTATTACATTAGCCCTGAAAAGCTCTGATTCTATTTGGATACATCCTTTACACCAAGCTAAATATATGAAAAAGTCAATTTTAAAAATGAGTCAAAGAAATTACCAATTTAAGTAGTTATTCTTTTCCCTTGACAAAAAGACCAGATACATTTGTTGGGATCGGTTTCTAGATTTGCAGCTATACACAGCGGAACAAAAGCTGAAATGTTTTTAAAGAAACTTTATTTATAAAGCAAGATAATCATCAAATAAATTATGTTTTTGACCAAAAGCGGGTTCATAATCATTTCCAATTAAGCAAATACAAGCTTACTGACAAGAAGCCCGTCCTTTTTTCTTATCCTGTACTTTCCTCAGAGACACTGGTCAACAGATCCCCAAGGCTTCAGGAACCACAGGTTGATAACCTAGCTACCGAGTTGGTCTGGTTTTGAAAGAAATTTGAGACACATAATGAAGTGGACTACTCACCTAGCCACATGCGCATAATACTCATGTAGTCCTTATTTTTGGCAGAGAGAAGCTTGTCATATGAGGGGCATCCCGCTAAAAGGATGCGATCGTGGTCTTCACACATGGCTATCAAATGCTGCTCTGCGCTCCTTGTGCAGCACACGTGGTAATGGGCCAGTTTGGTGATTGCGTGTCTGATAGAGTCGTCAATGGTGCCACTGACTTCCCCACCTTCAATGTGAAGAATGCGAATATTCATCAGGGCTGCAGAAGTGGCCAGTGCCAAAGCATCGAATCTGTCACCATGCACTATCATTATGTCGGGTTTCAAGCGTTTCAGGACATCTGGTAACTTCACCAATGCAAGGCCCACTGACTCCACCATGGCTGCCTCATCCTCGCCTCTCACAATAGTGTGCAACCTTGTATGAATGTCAAAGTCATCCTGTTCAATCATGCGATAGGTGTTACTGAAGAGAAGAGAAAAATGTTTACAGGAAAATACAACTTGCTTTTATACCAACATAGCTTGACAAACTAATTGTATACAACATTTGAATACCAGTACTGGGTTTGAACAATGGCTAGTAGCACGTATTTAAAGAAGCAGAACAACATGGAACGCATACAGTGATCTCCCACTGCAAGTGGGATATGCAGAGTTTCTTTATATGTAAAAATATTCCTGACTGGATTTGTCCAGCCACTTTCTCAACTTGTTAAATCTTTAGCATCTACAATGACCTGTGGAAAAGAATTCAGTAGCGTAACTGCATGTTGTGTGAAGAGCCATCTTCTTTTGCTTCGATTCTATCATATTCCAGTGTCATTTGATATCTTCAGTTCATGAAGAAAAATAGACAACGAGCTATTACTTCCTATTTGTTTTCTGTAAGCCTGTGAGGATTCTACAGACCTCTTTTTATGTTTACACTCCAGGCTGAAGAGCTCTTAACATATTTAAATGGTTCTTGTTCAAACACTGTTCCATAGCTCTGACCATCGTTGTTGTCTCCTTCTGTACCTTTTCCTGCTCTAGTATCTTGGAGCACAAAGGTAGAGCAGAATAGCAGACACACAAGAACTATGCCCAGAATTCAAGATGTGGATACACCGCTGCTACCTACAGCGACCTAATGATGTTTTCCATTTGTTCTCTCTTTCTCGGTAATTCTTGGTCTTTGAGTTAGGTTTGGACTGCTGCTTATCATTGCCCTGAGGTTTTCAAAGTTCTGTCAATTAGATGTTCCTAATATCATTCCTGGACACTAACAGTCAATTAGCTCTCTTCATTGCATAAATAAAGACAGGATTGTTTCTTCCCCTCATTTGCATGATGTAACATTTATCTGCCCTGAACTTCACCTCCTATTTGATCACTTAGTACTTCTGTTAGGGCCTTCTGCAACTCCTCATAACTAGCCTTCATTTCTGTAACATTGAACAGCTCAGCATCAAACCTTGTTGCATCACTGTTCACTCCCTCTCCCAGCTCATTCACAAATATGCCAAATCTCACAGGCACCAAGAAAGATTCCCGCAAACCCCACTGGTAATCTTCCTCCATGGAGGAAACTAGCTGTTAAACCTTTAATGAGGAACCTTGTTGAATGTGCTCTGGAACGCTGAGAAATCAAACTCTCTTTCTAGAGTCTTTCAAAGAATGGACATGGCATGATCTCCTTTCAGGAAAGCTATGTTGACTTATCACTAGTAGAGCAGCTTTGCGGGACACATGGATAAATACAACAGTTTTTTCCAGTTTGCCTGGTATGGATACCTGGGCTATGGGTAGTTTTCCAGATGACTCCTGGATCTTTTTTTAAGAACAGAAAAGCAACTCTTCCATGAGTAATCCAGGTGCATAGCTAATTGCTTTATAACTCCCTATACTGAAAATGTAATTTGAGATGGATGCTTTGGGTTCCAGCAAAGAATCCAGGCTTCACTGAACACAGATTCAAAAAATTAACTTTTAGTTTTTAATTGATGGTTTTATCATCTCTGAGTGTTACTTGCATACTGGCTCTACAACTCGATCATCTGGCTCAGTCATCTACTGCGTCTGTGAATCATTTGATAGTTTTCCTGCTTCTGATATGTTTGAAGAAGGATTTGCTGCCAGTGATTATACCTTTTTCAAGTACATCTTGGCTTGCATGATTGTGGTTAGCCTGTTAGAACTTATACTCGTTTTTCTTGTTTGAACACAACTTTGAAAGATACAATTTTATATGTAACAATCTCCCTTACCCTACTGTTAATCCATGTCAGCTTTTCTGTCTTTTTTTGACAGGTAACATATATTTTCTCATAGCCTGCGAAAAGCTGTCTTTCAACCCCATCGCCTTCCGTGAGGATACGCATGCTGTTCCTTTACCTCTTCTCTTCTCCTCAGTAAATACGAAAATACTCACCTGGGGTATGGGACATTCAATTTACAGTCCTTCCTTTGGGACAGGCAGTTGGACTAGGACAGTCTACCCTCCCAGGCAGGTGCTCTGATTATTCATTTATAAGATGTTCTGGAGTGGACCTAATACCTCCTGCAGAACCATACCTTAGATGCCTATTAGCCATTCATATTGTCAAGAAGAGACAAGCCCCTCACCCCTATCCTGAAGGTGAGAACTGACAGCATTTCCCTTGGATATGGAAAATATATGGAAAATATTTCTCTAGTAACTATTTATGCAAAGCAGAAGATCTTCAACTCTAAATAACTGTAGGTGTCTTTTCTCAGTGAAAATTCAAAAATGTAACCCATTTTCATTTGATTCTCATCAGATTCTTAAGGAAACTGAATGAATTGAGTTTCTTACTTTAGTCTTTGCTGCAGAGGAAGATCTCAGTTACATCACTCATATTAAGGTTTATGAAATTTGGTATTATTTCAAGAGTGGTTTGAAAGAGGAACACAAAATTTCAAAAGGAGCTCCAAAATAAAATAAAAAAATTATGAAAAAATGACGTGTAAAGTCTGGTTATCTTGTCATCTATGATGACAAGGATTTTTTTATGTACATTCCTGATGATTTCACCAACATATCAGAGAGAGAATGGCAGAGATACAAAAATCCATCTTACCCATAATCATCAATCAGATGGGAACCAAGAACTACAACATCAAGCTCAAAGAACTGTGGTTCTGCCTTAATACCAAACATAATGGGAGCTAATTTTGAATAATCAGCCCGATTGCAAGTAGCGACACAAACACGAAGTTTGTGTTTGCTTCCATTCTTCTCCATGACTTCCTTTTGTTTCTGTTTTGAAAGATTTTTAAAATATATTTCCTGAAAAATGGAAAAAAAAAAAAGCCTTAGTAGTAATATTCACAGCTATTAAATGGCACACTTAATGGACAACACATACAACTGCAACACAGAATCATAGACATGTACTACCTTATCCACTGATAACAGGCAACTGGTACTCCACAGTACAGTTCCATTAGAACATTTTAGAAGAAAACGACAGATTTTAAAGCCAAATTTGTTTAAAATAAACAATATTTAAACATTCTTTATAAGCAAGTTTTAAACATTAGGAAATTCAACAGTACTTGAACAGTAAACACTGCTCAGACAGAAACTCTACGTAAGTGGAAAATTATTGGTGCCTTAGTAAATAAAAAAAAATCTTGTATTCTAAAACCATGACATGGAACAAATTCCTAAGAGATACATCACTTGACAGACTCTATGAACATGGAAGACAGCCATTTTTGAAATCAGACCTCTACTGCTTTAATAACAGTCCACCAACCGTATGCAAGTGAGAGGTAGCGCTAAACTGAAGCTGAAACTATCACTTTGATTTTGATCTCACCCCTTATCTGGAGTTGACTAGAAAAAATGTACTTCATGCCATTTTAACACTAACACTGCTACAAAATCATTCTTACCTATATCTAACTATGTCCTAATACATAGCTTAGTCTTCTAAGCGCTTCCACAAGATTTACTTGGTCCTTGGGAAACTAAGTTTGCAAAAAGAACTCTCTTCTCCATGTGGAAAGGCAGCTGCTGGTATACACAGATATGATAATTATGACTTCACGTGAGCAGATCTGGGCTAAGGTAAATGTATTTCAGTAGGCTTACCTAACCAGCTGAATAAAGCGCCTTGCCACTCAGCAGAAACGAAAACGGATAAAGTCGAAAAATGGGATCTAGGGA